TCTGTCCTTCATGTCTCAGTCCTGCATGTCTCAGTCCTGCATGTCTCTGTCCTTTGTGTTTAAAATAATCTCTACCTCAACACATATGATTTAAATAAATGGGGATTAACAGACTTTTGTAGAACTTAAGGACAGTCTGAAAAGACGAGTCAGACTTTAATTCGGGTGTTGGAGCAGAAAACACCTAGAACTTGCATGGATGTGGCCCTGAGGACAAGGTCTGAACTAGGTCTGAACCTGCTCTGACATTACTGATCCAACAGATCCAGTAAACAATCTCAGATTGTTGGGCAGAGAAAAGATGGAGGGATGAGGTCGGTGGTGCAGTGCAGATCCAGGAATTGAGTTTCTATGCCGCAGGGGGCGGGGCTTAAGATAACTGTCGGTTAGAGGGGAAGCCCTGCTGAGGGTTTGTCCAAAAGCGGGAAGGAGTCCCTGCTCAGGATCTCCTGACAGTATTTTTAGATGTTCGCTCAGAGAGTAACCCTGATCTGTGGAAAGAGCTGACCTCTGACCTCCAGACCGCCGGACTGAGCCCAGCAGAATGCTGATGGCTCACTCAGCGTTTCCATCATGTGATGGCTTGTATCAACTCCTCACTGAACTTTTTAATGACGTCACTCATCATCAGAACTCTGGGAACTGGACTCAGTTTGGGTTCTTGTTCCTTCACTGACCTGCAACAGTTCATCAGCTGAAGTGTTGATTTCAAATGTTGTGAAATTTACAGTAAACTTTACACAAAAACAAGAAATGAATTTTTACTTTGGACCAAAATGATTCTGGCCTCACTCTGTTCGTCTCATTGACTCTTCCAGAATTACATCATCATTTCTGTTTAAATATTATTTATCTCAGTCATTTGTAACATTTGACTCTCAGATGAAGAAGAACTAAAATGGCTCTCAATCCCAGATGTTCGGAGTGGTTGTTTTCTTCTGAAGCCGTCCAGCTGCTGGTGTTTTTCCATCTGAGCTGGAAGGATGGGGGTTCGGTCAGAGCTCAGATAACTTCTACAAATAGAGGATTGTGTCATGATCTATAAAGGACACAGAGCTGTTTACACCCTGACAGCCTGCCTGCAGCACAAACACCACAGTCTGAACCAGAACGCATTATTGAACACTCGTGGTTCCAGCAGAACGTCAGTGTTTGGACGTACAGGGTTTTTGAATAGGCAATGTGTTGCCATAGCAACACAGACCGATAGATAACTAGAGAACATAAGTAAATAACCTGAAACGTTTCAGGGAGGCCTCTGCTGCTACTGAGCGAGTCAGTGTTTGAGTTCAGGTTTAAAAGACGTCTTTATTGATTCACGAGGTTCAGACAGAAGCAGAAGATTTCACACTCAGATCTTCTGTCTCTCCGCGGTGACATTAAACACCAACATGAAACCAGTTGAGGAACCCAGTGAATATACATGAAACCAGTTG